CACCAGGGGGGAGCATTTTGGGGTCATGTAGGGAGCGTTTTTGGGGCGTTCTGGGGGGGGGTTTCTGGCACTGAGGGACCCGCTGGGACCACCCAAAGGTGGGCAAGTGTTGAGGGCAGGGCACGAGCCTCGTGTCCCCAAGGGGGGGACCAGTGACCCCGTGGCATCAGTGGCCACAGGGGACAAAACTCGTGTCCCCAAGGGGGTGGCCACCCCCCCTGTGACCTGGTGGCCATGGGGGACAAGCCTCGTGTCCCCAAGGGGGGGGCCACCCCCCCTGTGACCTGGTGGCCATGGGGGACAAGCCTTGTGTCCCCAAGGGGGTGGCCACCCCCCCTGTGACCTCCTGGCCATGGGGGACAAGCCTCGTGTCCCCAAGGGGGGGTGGCCAACCCCCCCGTGACCTGGTGGCCACCACGGGGCAGATCCGTGTCCCTGGGCCTGGTTTGGGTGTCCAGCACCCAAATTTTGGGGGGTTTTGGCTCCCTGACCTCTCTTGGGGGTGGAGAATCCCCAACCCCTGTGACCCTCCTGGGGAGCCAGGAGGGGCCGAGGGGTGGGGACAAAGACCCCCCCCAGCCCCAAATCCGTGGATCCCGGCTCAGAATTCCCTGGTTTTGGGGCTAAATGAGCCCAAATCCCTCCCTGGGGGGGGTCTCTGCTGGGCTGGGGGCTGCTCTGGAGCTCTGACCCCCCTGCACGGATTTTCTGACACTTCCAAGACATCAAAGGGGTTGAAATCCCCTTTTTTCCGACGCTTCCAACACGTCCAAGGGGTTGAAATCCCCTTTTTTCGGCCCAGCCCCGTCCCCAGGTGAGTCCTTTGCTGCTCCCAGCGACCTTTTCCCCCCCCTGGGATTTGGGGAAGGGGCCCCCAAAGCCCAGCCTGAGCTTCAGCTTTGGGGGCAGGGATTGTATTTTTAACCATTTTCATTCATTTTTCTCCCAGGAAGTGGAAAACAGAGACAAAATCCCGATTTCTGAGCGGAGCAAGAACTTCCAGCCCGTCCTGGGGGTTCCTCCTCTCCTCCCTCCCCCAGGTAAAGTCAACCCTGAGCTGATAAAAAACCCCTTTTTAACCCATTTGGGACCCAAATCCCCCCCAAAAAACCCCCTTTAATCCATTTTTTTAACGGATCTTCCCTCGATTCCAGGGGCACCTCACTTCCAGGGGGAGCTGGGGATGAATTCTGGATCGATCCAGGCTGGGATCTTCGTCCTGGGATTGCAGCCAAAGCTTGGGAATGGATTTTTTTGGGGAGCAAATAAAGGATTTATTCCCCCCCTTTCCGACTCCTGAGCCGTGTGTTTGTCCCAGCGCCTCCTGCTCCTGAGGGATGGGGGAAAACTGGGAGGGAAAAAGGGGAGGGAAAAGAGAGAACTGGTGGATTTAAAGTGGGAAAAAGGGGAGGGAAAAGAGAGAACTGGTGGATTTAAAGTGGGATTTCCTTGGGAATTTCCCGGTGGGACAAGGAGGGGACAAGGAGGGGACTCATCCAGGTTTTTCCCGTTGCAGCTGCCGGAGGAGGACGCAGGGGAAGGACGAGGAGGAGGCTCAGATCGGCCCCAAAAGGATCAGGTACCCAAAAAAAATGGGATGGGAAGGGGCTGGAGGAGCTCCCGGGGCTCTTCCTGGCCCCAAAAGGATCAGGTGCCCAAAAAAAATGGGATGGGAAGGGGCTGGAGGAGCTCCCGGGGCTCTTCCTGGCCCCAAAAGGATCAGGTGCCCAAAAAAAATGGGATGGGAAGGGGCTGGAGGAGCTCCCGGGGCTCTTCCTGGCCCCAAAAGGATCAGGTGCCCAAAAAAAATGG